GAGGTCACAGTGGCAACAGCTCACTAGCCAGAGAACTTCTGAGAGATGAAAGCACCATATCAGAGGATAGCTGGTCCAGTATTCCAATAGAAATAGCTTACCTGTCATGACTAGTTAAAGTCATTAAAAGAAACATGCCATTCCTGCCCGACCTCCTGGATTTTATCCCAGGGGAATGATTTTAAAGCTGTTGTGTGACAGAATTCTATCTAAACAGGCAACTGCATTCTGACCCACTGTCCTGAAGGGAAAGCATTCTACTCACAGGGAGCCACACAGCCTTCTTCTCCTGGAGGTGGGAGGCTGGATTCCTGAAACGGCAAAAGAGATGCTTTAGCAAACCTGTTTCCCCCTGAGATTCCTGCCTGAGCTTCCAGAGAAAACGTTTTCTGCTGGCTATTCCTAATGTCTTTCAGGGGGCAAGATGTTCCATTGGAATTCACTTTCTGAAACGTTTCATAGTTTTTTTCAGCATGAACCTTCCAAGTAGTGACAAAATTTATAAACTTCTTCTACATGTTAGTCAACTGATTTCAAAGATAAAGCGGATAACTTGACTAGACCACAAAGTCTCCTTGGAGGCATTTTCACTTCTGCATTCCCTGACAGTGTCCCATAGAGTTAAGCCTTCAAAGATAGATAGTAATCACTCGTCACTCTGAACTGCCTTCATAATGTAACAGATCACTAATGTGGAACCTTAAAAATAAAATTCTTTCAGTAATTTTAATCTGGTGTGTGTGTTTAAGATACAGGTTCTTGGTGGCACCAAGTGGCTTAGTGGTTAGGGCACCAGCCACATACATCAAGGCTGGAGGGTTCGAACCCAGCCCCGGGCCAGCTAAAGCAACAATGACTACTGCAACAACAACAACAAAAATAGCCAGGTGTTGTGGTGGGCATCTGTAGTCCCAGCTACTTAGGAGGCTGAGGCAAGAGAATCACTTAAGCCCAAGAGTTGGAAGTTGCTGTGAGCTGTGATGTCACAACACTCTACCAAGAGCAGCATAGGGAGACTGCCTCAAAAAAAAAAAAAAAGAAAAAGAAAAAGATTCAGGTTTTTGCTGTCACTCAGGCTGTAGTACAGCTGAGTACAGTCATAGCTGACTGTAAACTGGAACTTCTGAGTTCAAGTGATCCTCCCACCTCAGCCTTCTAAGGAGCTGGGACTACTATAGGCATGTATGACAACACCCAGCTAATTAAAAACAATTTTTTTTGGTAGGGGCCAGGTGCAGTGGTTTATGCCTATAATCCTAGCACTTTGGGCTGCTTGAGACCAGGATACAAGACTAGCCTGACCAAGAGCAAGACCCCCCCTATACGATAAACAGAAAAATTAGATGGGGTGGCACGTGCCTGTAATCCCAGTTGCTTGAGAGACTGAGGCAGGAGGATTGCTCTTTTTTTTTTTATTTTAGAGATGAGGTCTTGCTGCACTCAGGCTGGTTTAGTGTTTAATAGTCTCACATGTATCAGTTCATGTCCGATGCAACCAGAATACATATACATTCTTGTTACACAGTCCATCCTCATCGTCCTCTTGCTTTTGTAAAGCTAATTATTCTGGAACCTACCCCAAATGAAGGATTAAAACTAAACCCATACAGAAATGGGAAATTATACTTTTACTTAAAAATAATAAAGCTTGGTGGAAAATAATCAACCAGAAATCTACATTGCTAGGTTAAAGTGAAAAGTTTGGGGTGCCAAGGGAAGTGCTACCGCTCCGCCTCCCTCAGCCTGAGCCCATGGTGAGAAGCCCAGTTTTCACTGAGTAGTAGGGGAATTTAACAGCAGGGAAAATCAACTCCCTCTTCACCCACCCCCAAGAAAAAGTACCCCCCTTGTACTCCCTGGAACTTGTCTATTACATCTTTGCCCACATCCTGGTCTTGTGGTTGATAAAATAGAGACTTTGGCCCATCTGACCCCAAATTTCTGCCTAAGCCCAGGTACGATACCACACCTGAGCGGCAGCTCCTCCCAGTGACTGGGGCCATCGATGACTAATAACACTCCCATGCGCCTGTGCCATTTTATAGCGTTCAAAATGCTTCAGCAAACCTTATCTTCACTACCACTTGTCAGCTAGGCAGGCCAAGATGTATTATTCACATTTTATAGACGGGGAGACAAGGTCCAAGGTTAGGTGGTTTGCCTGTTAATATTTCACTGAAGGCTCGCTGCATGCCAAATTCATACATAGCTGTGCCTAAGAGCACATTATTTGCATCATCTCATTCAACACCATGGATCAAAATCCACCAGCTGATGACAGATTTGTTACATGATTTCCATGTAACAAAGGAGGTAAACAGCCTTACCCAAGCCAAGTAACTTGCCTAAAGTCACAAACTTTAAGTAGCTGAGGCAAAATGCAGACCCACTGAATCACACACGGTAACACCTTCTGAGTGACTAAGGTGCTCTCCCGGCCTTTTGCGTACCAAGGAATTGTTGATGATGCATGAAGCAGAGGACATCCTCGGAGACTTCCATCTCTGCCACTCAGGACTAGGGAGGTGTCTCATGGAACTGAGGAGGCACGGTGCCCAGCACATTGAAGACACTCTGTAAAGTTTTTAAAGTGTTCATTCTCCTTTACAATGAGGGGAAAACCTGCAAAATGACTTGCTCTCTTGGCCTTTAGTTGAAATGAGAGGTAGCTAATCTTGCTGGGAAGTCCAGACTTTATGGGAGAAACACAGCAAAGGGTGCGGGAGGCTCAGCTGCATCCTGAGTATGTCACGAGCCACACTCACCACCACTACATCTGGAGGTTCTTCTAACATCACAGCCACCCCACTATGACTAATGTGATGGCCTGCGTATCTACGGACCTTTTTGGTGTCATAAGTTGTGATTTACTTAGAAGAGCTGTAGATGGTTTACGACTCAATTTCCTCTAGTTAAGCTAATAACTTGCATGTAAATAAGGACCATTGTTTTCGTGTATATGGGATTTCTTTAGACAAGCAAACCACATCACAGTATGTTTCTTAAAGTAAAAATTTTTAATTGCTACTTCAGCTGAAAAGATGATTACATTTATTCTTGCCTCAACTCATAGCTCTGTGGAATGTCATGCGATATAGGGTCACGTGTGAGTTCTTGCTTATCTTCCCTTAAAAGCAGAAAAATCCTGAAGGTGCTTTTGGCTAAGAACCCAATTCTACATACAAGATAGGGGAGAAAATATAGCTTCCTGCTAAAGTATTTATAAAATAACAGGCATTCCATTTTAAAACAAAGCCATGAAAAAGATAATTCCATTTTATTTTATTTATTATTATTATTTTTTACAAACAATAGATTTGCTGCAACATGCTCTGGCTCATATTATTGAATTAAAAAATTTAACACATTTCAAAAATATCAAAAATACACTATAATGAGTCTTAGGACTACAATACGACAATGATTGCACGAAACCATAAGATATGAGCCCACTGTCTGGATGACATCCATTGGCAACAGTGAGAGAAGACCCTACAGCGTCTGGGAGGGGCGTGAAAGTCAGAATACAAGGAGCGAGTGTGATCGGTCACCAATGAGGGTGACAGAGCAGGGTTTGCTGTAGCTGCTTTTCTCCATCTAGGAAGTGCTTCCCCAACTATGGGGCGGAAGTCACTCACTGCAGAGAAAGATTAACTCGCCTCCGTGACTGGGAAGTCTGAAGGGCTCCACCCGAGGGAAGTGAAAAGTGACACAAGACAGTTCCGTAGTGATGCTGCAGACATCACCGAATGGCTTGGAGACTAATTATGTAATAACTGGTACATGTATCGATTAATAGCCAAGTGCTCCCTTATGGAGGTCTCTTCATTAATTATTATTGAATAGATAAAGAAGGTGAGCCTGTGGCTTCCAAGTACCTGCTTCTGCAAACATGGAAAGAGCATCTTTTGATATTCAGTACATCGGCCACACCTAGGCTCCGGGCAAACAGCACTCACTACACGCAACTGTACTAGCACCCAGTGAACACCGCGCTGCTCCTGAGGGCTCCTCTGCACCCCAGTAAATGAACCCACCCATCTATCACACACACACATGGACAACAGTATCATCAGCCCTCACGTGTACCAGGAATGGCAATTCACAAGGACCAGCCTCTGCAGTAGCACTGTAGCTTTATGTCATACTAGCATTCGAATTTTTCAAATGTATTTCTAATCCATTTGGATAATAAAAAGAATAGCATGGCTGTCAAGACACACTGTTTCCTTTCTTCCATGGGACTCCTGAACTGCTTGCTCCCATACTCAGGAGCATTCTTCCTTCAGAATTCTCTGAAACTTGTCTATTACAGGGGAGGTGCACACAGAGACCTAAGAATCCTTGCAGAGGCCAGAATCTCTGTCTCTGCCCAGCTGGGAACACGCCCTCTGGGTTAAGGAACGGGAAGCGGATTACATTCACCTGGAGACAGATGACTGGATTTCACCAGCTGACAGCCTACTCACATAACAGTGTCTGTAAATTACCTTGTAGGTGAGAAGAGTTTTGTATTATATTTTTGGTAATGGGCTATGGCCATTTTATCCTGTTTGAATGCAGAGAAACTATTAAGGACATGAATTAAAGGAGATTGCAAAAAACAAAGATCAGTTTTGGTGTAGCCTAGATTAAAGGTTTTCAGTTTATAACCTAATGGTCTCTAAAAATAACTCTACCATGGGTGGCGCCTGTGGCTCAAAGGAGTAGGGCACTGACCCCAGATGCCGGAGGTGGTGGGTTCCAACCCAGCCCGAGCCAAAAGTCGCAAAAAAATTAAAAAAAAAAATAGGTCTTAAAAATAACTCTACCACGTAAAAGAACATTTAGAATTTCAGAGTTCTGCTCACTAAAAAGTAAATAGATTTACTTTTGGTATGGTCATTTCAGAACTGGGTTTTGGTGTGGTTCTAGTAGTAGGGTGACTAACAAACAGAAGACAAGAAAGGGGTTCACATATAAAGAACAATTTTTATAAGACTATACTATTAAAGTGGTATATTCCCAAAATAACTTTCATTTTTAGACAATATCATTACTACTCTATAACCCAAAGGTTCTGCTGTCTGAGTAGAAAGATGTTTTCCATCACCCATGACTATCATCTTGGATTTTTCCTTCATTTTCTCATTTTAAAAAATTTTCCATATAAAAATAAGGTGCAACACACCATTGTTCCCATTTTTCTAACAGCACCTACACTTCGTATGAGTCACTATGGTCCCTACTTCAAATCAAAGACCTGAGTTCTAAACTTTGTCAAATAGCTGACCAGTAGTTTGACACAGGGAAGTTAAGTGTTCCTGACAATGCTTGAGTCCAGACTCTCGAGGGGCTGATCATTAGATAACCATCAGAGTAGCACAGAATCCCCAAGAGTGCACCCCTCCCCAAACACGCACATAGGCACAGGGCCCCCAGAGGATGAAGACACCGGCCATCTGTGGACAGGTCATCTGGTTTTTGACTATTGCTTTGAACAAAAACTTCCCAAAAACACAAAGAAAAAAATATATATATATTCATCAACCTTCTTTTTAACATTTTGTTTCTAATGAAACACATTCAAAATGGTTCCACCCTATCTTTTTTAATTGTGAAAGTATTCTAGAACTTCAAAGTACATTTCCCATTACATGAAGTCAAGCAATGCCAAAATTTTGTAGTAATAAATGGGAATTAATTATCCTAAGTAAATATTGTAATGGAAAAAGTGACAGAAATATGGAAGGAACTGCATTTTGCTAGGGTTACAAGGAATGTGCAAAAAAATACAGTTTTTTTCTGTAAGCTTAAGAATTTCTCAACTGAGTATCTTTCTTATGTTAGTATCAAAACCACATAAGGTGAAATGAGCAGTTTTCAGAAGCGTATACTGTTTAACATTCAAGAGGTGAGTTCTCAGCTCACTTCCAACATTCTCGAAAGCTATCCCTCTGCTCTAACCTGTGAGCTCAATCTGTCTGTTCTCTTGTGGCCTCAGTCTGTTTCACAGTCATCTGCCATAACTCAAGGTCACCGACACGAGCAGCGTCAGGCAGTTGGGAGGCTGACACTCATCAGGGACATAGGCCAACCCCCAAATGCCTCCCTTGCAATCTGCTGGGAAACTCCTAGCAGGTTTCACATTTGTCAAGGGGTAATTTTCTTTGATTTGGGGGAGATGTGGTCTTAGTCCTCACTTCTCCATCTTCTTCCCCAAAAGAAGATCCTGCTACCCCAAGTTTCTCAGGAGCTTTTCACAGTCTGACATCTAACAGTTAAAATATTTCCCAAGGCCCTTCCAAGTACCCTCAGAGAAGTACCCGATTAGCTCTCTGCCTATGGACAAAGGGTGCCGGGTTTCTTCTAAGAAGAGTGGCTCGAGTGCAGATTCAAAAATAAAAAGTTCACAGTCAATGAAAAGTGCTCTCATTACATTACATACATAAATTAATTGTTTGATTGGTTCTACATTTCCAATGGACATCATTTTGATAGGCTGTATTCTCGTAGAGAAGAAGGAAAAGCCATGTGACTAGTCACATCATACCCCATGAGTTAGTCTGAGATAAGGTGATTTCTCTGTCACAGAGATCCATCAGCAGCAATTAGTGTAGGGAATCAACCTTCAGTTACTTCCTCCACAGAATAGTCCCTTTCCTGCCCAGGCAGGCAAATTCTCAAAGTGATCCTAGGAGAGAAAGGGTTAATGGCAGGTGGTAGGACTGCTTTCTTCCCAGTTAACTCTGGGAATTCCCTCACAGGTTAAATGTGAAACTTAACACTGATGGTGGCTACTAGCTTATCCAGAGCCAGACCCTGATCACTCTCGCGCTTCTGGCTCCGAGTTCTACCCCACGCATCTGTGGTTTAGAAATGCAGAGACAAAATGCCCCTGGCAGGGTCCCACGCCAACTCCACACAGCCTCCTCTCCCACCGTGCCCACTGTGGGGGCGGGGTCACAGCGCTGTGTCAAACTCCTCTGGGGGCTCGGTCCGATCCTCTTCCCTGGGCTCAGGCTCAAGCCTGCTTTCCTGGTGCTGTTTCATTTGCTCCTTTACTTCTTCTTCCAGGTCCCGGGGTACAACAAACTGATCCTCTGGTTCCAGCTGAGTAGGGGCAGCAAAGTAGCCAGTTTTCCTCTTGGGTGCTTCTGTGGCCACTTCGATGAGGTTCAGGCTATCTTCCAGAGGCACAATAGAGCCATTGGAGAGTTTCTTTCCATAGAGACAGGAGGTGGAAGGAGACTTCTGTAACTCCATCCTGTCCTTACTCATCGGCAGGAGGATACCACTATTCACACTGTTCTGTCTTCGGATCCCAAAGCCCAGCCCTCTGGCATGTTCCTCGGGACACGGGACAGGAGGATTCCCTGCGAGAGCAGTGGTGTTCTCCGGGTCTCTCCCTCTGCAGCAGTGGATGTCTACCTCCACTTCTACCCTGCTGCCATTGCTTATGACCCCTTCAACGGGCTGGTCATCATCACTGTCCAAGCCATTGTCAGACTGATTACTGGAGAAGGTGGCACAAGAAGGCTGGCGCTGAAAAACCCCAGAGCTGGGTGCTGGATGGAGGCTGCAGCGCCTTTCTGGCCGTGGGAGCAAGGTGGCATCCAGGCCCACGGCGTTATGCTCATCAGAAGCGGTGGACCCCACCTCGCTGCTCACCTCCGAGGTGGACATCTCACTGCTGAACTCAGAGGCGATCCCACTGCTAGAGGAGGGAGTGGTTGGCTTTGGCATGTCCTTGACTGTGGTGGTAGAGGCATATCCCACAGGCCCAGGCAGGGTGAGCCCATTCATTTCACATGTGCAGCCTTCCTCGCCAATATTCAGATAGACCACCATGGCCCCTACGTTGTCCTGACAACCATAACTCTGTGCTAATGTGCACAGCTTCTTGGCAGCTGCTAACGGGTCTTGTACATGACGCACTGCATTGACAGCTTCTGTGTAGGACAAGTGTTCCCATAGTGCTTTGTTTCCTAGAATCAGCAACTCATCTTGAATGGTAAGTGGAGTGGAAGAAATGTGAGGCTTGGGGAGGACCCAGGGGTAGAGGTATGTACAGCCCAGCAGCCGGGTACAACAGGTCACACCATTCACTTTGTTGTCCTAGAGATGGGCAGAATACAAACTTTGAAAAACAAAGAACAGTGATATACAACTTTGTATCTATCTAGATCACAGTGCTTATGGATCTTCAATAAATTAGAATTGACACATGATGATTCTTTCTATGGAATTACAATTTTAAGAGTACTTTAAAACAAATGTAGACAAGTCTAAAAAGATAAAATATCACACAGTTATTATATCAAATAGTTCAAAAACCTGAAGATAATTCAATTCAAATTAAGTAACGAAAAGGTACTACCATCTCAAAAGATATCTGCTCTAACATGAAGGACAGGCCTTAGCAAGTCCTTAAATAGAGAAGGACACGTTAGAAAAATGCTATCAATCCTCCATCACTAATACTCTCAGAGAGGCCATTACTCAGATGGGTCACTAAAAATGACGTCTCTGAAAGGCAGGACTGCTAGCACTGACTGCTCAGGAGGTTTTCGTCTGGTACTGTTACTGAAACCATCTGAACTGAACTTTTATCAGGACTGGATACAATTTACAAGGCATGACAGGAAGAAAGTGGACCTTTGTCACCTATGCGCACAGCAGCCTTCACTAGATTGCGGGGGTGGAAGGGACTGGCAGAGAGGGAGACGCACCTCAGTGATGATGGCTTTTTGTTCTTTTACCCTTTGTGCCTCCTCTGGGTCCTGCTCCAGGCTGAAGATTTTAGAGAGTGGCAGTGGCTTCCCACTTCGGCACAGGACTGCTTGGCATGTGCCAACGTTGGCCACAGTCAAGCTAAAACTACTTGTGGGGTCGGCAGTGTCGGGGCGGATGTAGCACAGGAGGGCAGAGGAGCCCAGCTTCTGGCCAGCCATTCCCAGTTTCCTGTTTGGAAAGGAAAGAAAGTGAAGATGTGGTAGCTAGTTTCAGAAGGAAGTGGTGGTGCTTCATGTCTGTCCTGTCCTTGTTTTTCTACCACATGACCATGAACCAGCCTCACCCTTGAGCTCCCGATGGCAGGCACTTGTTATGGGTGATAGTGAGAGAGAGCTTTGCCTTCCACTCTCCGCCAGGACAAGACACTTTGCAAAAGGAGGGGAGAAGGACTGGGAGACAGTGAAGGCGCCTCTTTCTCTACTGCTTCTGTGTCTGACCACAGACTTCCTCATTCAGAGGTTCTCACACTTCTGCACATCAGAACCACCCGGAAGGCTTCTTAAGCGTGGGGACTGCTGGAGCTTCCCTCCTTAGTTTCTGACTCAAAGGGTACAAAGGGCTGGCCCAATAATCCACATTTCTAACAAGTTCTGGTGATGCTGAGGCTGCTGGTCCTAGCCCACCACTGTGAGAACTCCTGAAGGAAGGACCAGGGTTTTCCTTGCTTCTCATGTGGTGTCCACGCACCCACATTTAGTGCACAGTGCTGCCAAGGAGGAGACACTGTCAGAAAGTTCTACTTTCCAATTCCAGCTCTGCCACTTCCTGGCTGTAGGCCCTCAGCAAGTTATTTCTCTAAGAAATGTCTCTGATAAAATACCTACCCCTGAGGCTTGTTTGAAATTAAAAAATACAGTATTAAAAGTACTTGGTACAGTGCCCAGCTCTTAAGAGGTACTTCATAAATCAAGTTCCCTTTCAGAAACCCTTTACTTTGCCAAGTCTCTTGCTCAGTTATACTACTGAAAAATAGACTCCATTCCCAACACATTGCTTTCTGTTATAATAACAGGTAAAACCAGTTCAAGCACTAGGCTGTGCCACTTCAACCTGGACTATACAGGTTTAAGACCCCTCAGTTGGGCTCGGCGCCTGTGGCTCAAGCGGCTAAGGCGTCAGCCACATACACCTAAGGTGGCGGGTTCGAATCCCCAGCCTGGGCCCGCCAAACAACAATAATGGCTGCAACCAAAAAATTGCCAGGCATTGTGGCAGGCGCCTGTAGTCCCAGCTGCTTGGGAGGCTGAGACAGGAGACTTGCTTGAGCCCAGGAGTTGGAGGTTGCTATGAGCGTGATGCCATGGCACTCTACCCAGGGGGATAGCTTGAGGCTCCATCTCAAAAAAAAAAGACCCCTCAGTTGTCCACATCCTCTATGAAGCCCGGGTGATGGGCAAGACACTCCCTCTACTGCATTTGAGTTACATAGATGGTCTCCAATGTACAACAATATCACTTACAATTTTTCAACTTCATGATCATGCAAAAATAACACTGTATCCATTCAGTAGAAACTGTACTTCAAATTTTGATCTTTCCCAGGGCTAGTGATAGGCAGTACGGCACCCTGACCACACTGGGCAGCAGTAGTGAGCACAGATCCCAGTCAGCCACGTGACAGTGGGGGAAACAACCAATACTGCACATGTCCTGTGGTGCCAGGTGATTCTGCCCAACTGTAAGCTACTGTGTGTGTTTTCTGAGCCCTAAAGGGGACTAGGCTAAGCAATGATGTTTGGTATAGTAGGTGTATTAAATTCATTTTTTTCACCTTACAGTATTTTCAATTTAACAGAGTTTATCAGCTGGGTCAGCAGCTCATGCCTGTAATCCTAGCACTCTGAGAGGCCAAGGCAGGTGTATTGCCTTGAGTTCAGGAGTTGGAGACCCACCTGAGCAGGAGCGAGACCCTGGTCTCTACTAAAAATAGAAAAATTAACTGGGCACTGTGGCAGGCTCCTGTAATCCCAACTACTCAGAAGGCTGAGGCAAGAGATCGCTTGAGTTCAAGAGACTAAGGTTGCTGTGAGCTGTGACACCATAGCACTCTACCTAGGGCAACAGGGTGAAAAGTTGTCTCCGGAAAAAAAAAAAGGAGAACTTATCAGGACCAAATTCCACTGTAACTTGAGGGGCATCTACAGAGGGTTTTTGACCTTAAGTAGCTTAGACTTTAATTAGAAGATTAGTTGGTTAAACCCCCAATAACAAGTATTCTAAACACACGAATCTGGTGAATGCATGTTAACATTTTTCTATGTCACTGACTCTTTGGACAATCTTCAAAAGCTTCCCACCTTCCTCCCCACGTGTACAGCCACGCATACACACAGAAAACATTCTGCACATAATTCTGCGCTTCTCAGGTCCTCAGCAGCCTTTGGATTCAACAGAGAAAAATGCTGGGGGCTGCCTTTTTTCTTTCTGAGCCTCCAGTGACAACATAATCACTTATTTCTCTGCCCTGCCATTTCAGCCAGTCCATGGCTCCAGAAGGTTGATGAACCGCACAGGCTCTTTAGAGAGCCAAATCCCCACACTCCATGCTGATTCACGGAGAGGAGGACTGTGGAAGTAGTAGTGAGTTCTCTTCTTGACTTTGTAGTCATAATGTGAACCCTGACCTGGTTTGAGAGGTTTATTTTATAAAAGTAAAAGTGACTTAGGGATTATTCAACCCACCTGCTTACCTGTGAGATACCAAGAAGGTGTTAGACATGAAAACAGTGTCATTTGTTGAGTGCTGCACCTCTTCCAACAGCACGTCAGCCATCGTACACTGGAGCAGGCGAGGGAGCTCCTCGTTTCTGTCCCCATCAAACATGCCGTACACAGCTCCCACTCCCTCGGCAAAGTTATCCATGGCGAGGGCAGATACACACAGCCTGCAGGAGAGATGGGACAATCATCAAAGAGGGGAAAAGATTATTCATCAAGGAGCACTCTTTCAAAACATAGCTAGTAACTGAAAGTGGGAAGCCTATAGTGAATCCCAGTCCACACACACAGGGCCCTAGACAGATGACCAAGCAGCACCTGAAAGCACAGGTATCCTGGGGGGGGGGGTGTTCAGCCAGAGTCCTGGGCAGCAGCTTGGCCACGCACCCCAAGGCTGGAAAGATAAAATGTTCTCCCTCAGTAGTAATTAAGGCTGAGTTTTCTTAAGAACCTCAGCTGAAGACCACCAGAGAACACCTGTTGCTGAACAAGCTGAGCTTTTTACTCTTTGCAAGGGAGAATGATCGCTATGGCATAATAGGTAAGAGAGTGCTAGAGAGAACCGAGCACAGGATTTGGGCTTTGCCTGGGTCATTTTGCAGAGGGTGTAAGGAGGTGGAGGATCATACCAGACTAGTGGAGGCATTCTATGGTGGGGGTCTCAATGTTTCTTATCTATATGAAATAAAGATTAGCAGGAGGATAAAGCCCTAAAAGGCAAAGAAAGTAGCATTTGCCCACTTTAGCCATAAAAGGGGATGTTTGACATTTTGTTGACTGCACATTCATCTTCTTTTTGTCTCACTTTATTGTGATCTCAGAGGGATTTTTATCCAACTTTGACATTCTAGGATTTATGCGCAAAAGAACAACATGGCCTAACCGTGGGCATCAGACCAAGTCCCAGATGCTGGGGGCTGCCTTTTTTCTTTCTCAGCCTCCACTGACAGCATACTCACTTATTTCTCTGCCCTGCCATTTCAGCCAGTCCATGGCTCCAGAAGGTTGATGTAACTGTAGAATCTGTGGTTGGCAAAGGTTTCTGATCAATTTTCAGGGTTGTGATATGGCTGTGAGAAGTGGAAGAAGAAGAGAAGATTAAACAATACACTCTTCCATATTTTACAAAAACTATCCCAACAATAATATATCTTTTTATAAAATAATCTGTTGATAGACTAATATGCATTTCCAGAGAGACTGGATGGAAGTAAACATGTTAATAGTACACTGAATTCCTGGCCAAGGAGAAGAGAGAACCAAAAATGTAAGAGGAAGAAGCAGGGGCCAATATTGTTACGCTTAATGCCATATGTTGCAGTAAAGAACTAAGCACAAAAAAGATTCCTAAGTTTCAGCCAACAGGCAAAATGAACTCTTGGTATAATGAATGAACTTACCTTGTCTTCTAGATGTTGTGATGTGATGTACAGCTGTCTTGTGAAAAAGTTACTGAGTATGTGGCTGGGTAGTGGCCATGTAGAAATCTAACATGAATAGACTGAGTATGGGACAGAGTATCTACCCATAACTGAATCAGAGAAGCGAACCTGGGTTTTATCACCTAATTCATTCTATTCACTTAATTAACTGAGGTCTCCATAATCCTAAGGACCTGTACATAGCTGGCAGGCCTAAGAGCAAAAACACACTCAATTTCAAATGTTTTCCTACCTAAATATGTCCAGAGTCTTGTGCTCCAGAACCAGATTTGTATTTCCAGTCAGGTCAAGGTCTTGTAATGTAACAGGCAATGCCTCTGGGATCAGGATTTCTGTCAAGTCATTGCAACTTAGGTCTACAAACTAAGAAGAGAAGCAGAAGTCAAAACTCATCATAGAGAGTTAGTTCAACTCCTACATGTTCAATCTCCTACCATATCCCCACAGTGGCACTTATTTCTTCCCAGGAATCAATTACATATATTGGTCCCAAAGTGAGTTTATGGGAAGGGAGTAATATTCCTTCCTTGGGAGAATGATCTCATTCATACTCCTGCCTTTTCCCCTGTGAGGACACCATCCCAGCACACAGAAGTACCTGGATCTGAGGCAACTGCAGGATCTCTGGGAAAATGCTGATATTGTTGGAGTGTGCAACAAGGGTGTGCAGCCTTTTGCAGCTGGCTATGGTTGTGGGGATGGTTTTAAGCTTATTGCCACTTAGGTTTAGTTCCTCCAATTGCTCCAATTTACTTAGTTTGCTGAAAAAGAAACATCAAAATATGACACTCTACCAACAGTGAACAGCTGCTAAACAAGTGCTACGTTACAGCCACCACAGTACAGACTGACCCAATCCGCTGCAGTGACTGGAGAAGACGAAGCAGCAACAGCCGAGGCAGTGCTCACGACGATGATGTGCCCTCGCCTCTCTCAGTGCGTTTTGATGGCTAACCCATCCCTGGCTTGTCTTACAGTTGTTGGATCTTGTGGGCATGACCATCTAAACTGTTACCTATACTTACAGGGAGTGGCTCAGAAAGGACTGGCCTAGACTTGGGAGCTTAGTCCTGAGGCCTGCTTCCCCACTAACCAGCTGCAAAATACTAAGCATGTCAATGTCAATGGATCTCAATATCCTCAGCTATTAGAAAAATTGTATTAAATCATCACTAAGATTCCTTACAGTTTTAATTTCTACTAAACTATTAAATTTCTATTAATTCCTATTCAGTTGCCTAATCATAATGCTTATCAAGTTCTCATTGTACAGACAGAACTGTGCTCAGGCCTGTGAGGCAAAAGATTCACACTGTCCCACTGACAGAGCAACACTCCCTACATGGGAAGCAAAACAGCTGAGGTCAGCCTAACACCACTAACCAAGGTTATTACAAACTGTTCTTACTTCTTTTTGTTTATTGATTTAAAAAATTATAAAAATAAACTATTGTAATATGGAGAGAAACTTAGGAAAACACAGAAAGTAAATCATCCATATACTAGCCATTTGAAAGAATTACTATAATCACTTTGCTGAATTTCCTACCAATTTTTTCATGGGAATAGTGGTTTTAGATAAATTTTACACCTTACCTTTTTCACATAACATACAATTTTTATTGCTAGAAAGTAATTTTTAATAAGCTTAGTAAATGAAAATAATTTTTCCTTATAATAATACATGCACATGGGGAAAAAAGAAAATTAGAACAAAAAGAAAACAAATCTTTCATTCCACTATCAGAGATAACCTCTCATGACATTTTGGTAGAAAGTATTCTTCTTTAGGGTATGAAACTATATTTTTTGAATTAATATATGGTACTATACTAAATATATTATTTTAGAACTTACTTTTCTTTTACTAATGAAGTTTTTAAAGTGTCTCATGCTTTCCCCTTAATCTATTCCCTACCTGAATTTTCTAACTTATGAATGAAAATGTAGCACCCGTTCAGTGCCAGATTCTGAAAATAGTCCAAAAGAAACAAGATCTGTATTGTGCTTGTCCTATTATAACAGTGCTCAGGAAATGACCTCATAGTGGATTTATTACTCAGTACAGAACATAGTTCTTTAGTATGTTGCTCCTAAATTCCACTTAGTTTTATTATATTCATTCAGATTACTCTAATTTTGTGTGATCTGTTCATTCTTATCTTTAATACTAACTTCTTATTTTCATTTATACACACACATATATATATATATTTTTTTTTTTTTAGATAGAGTCTCACTATGTCATCCTCAGTAGAATGCTGTGGCATCACAGCTCACAGCAACCTCCAACTCTTGGGCTTAAGCGATTCTCTTACCTCAGCCTCCCAAGTAGCCGGGACTACAGGCACCCACCATAAGGCCTGTCTATTTTCTGTTGCAGTTGTCATTGCTGTTTAGCAGGCCTGGGCTGGGTTCAAACCCACCATCCTCGGTGTATGTGGCCAGCACCGTAATCACTGTGCTACGAGTGCTAAGCCCATTTTAATATGTTTTAAGTTTTGTAACAACCAGCTTTCAACCCCCCTTCAACAATAAAAATGTCATCGAATAAGGCAAGATTAGAGTATTATACCTGATATTACCCAATACTTTATAAGCTAACATAACTTGTCAGTGGTCTGTTTTCACTTTGTATGAACATATTTGAGGTCAACTAAACTAATCTGATAAGATTTCAAGAGCTTTACACTTCCTGAAATTAAGAGTCTATATTCGTTTGGCTCAGAGCCTGTAGCTCAGTGAGTAGGGCACCAGCCACATACACTGAAGCTGATGGGTTTAAGCCTGATTCAGCCTGGGCCTCCTGAACAACAATGACAATTGCAAACAAAAAATAGCTGGGCGTTGTGGCGGGCACCTGTAGTCCCAGCTATTTGGGAGGCTGAGGCAAGAGAATTGCTTAAGCCCAAGAGTTGGAAGTTGCTGAGAGCTGTGAAGCCATGGCACCCTACTCAGGGCAACATAGCAAGACTCTGTATCAAAAAAAAAAAAAAAAAAAGAGTCTATGTTCATTTTTAGAGCCATTATTTTAATTCTTTCAAGGAAGCAATCATGTTTATTTTATCCTGTTTGTCTTCTAAAGCTCTATCTCATTTCATAAATGGTCACAAAAATTATAAGGTTATATATAGCATATATGTAATTTCATTCAAATTATGCCAGGCATAGTAGCTCACACTTGCAATACTAGCATTCTGGGAGGCCAAGGTAGGTGGATTGTTTGAACTCACGTTTGAGACCAGCCTGAGCAACAGTGAGACCACGTCTCTACTAAAAACAGAAAAACTGGGCAGTGCCTGCGATTCAGTGAGTAGGGCACTGGCCCCCTATACCGAGGGTGGTGGGTTCAAACCCAGCCCTGGAGAAACTGCAACAAAAAAATAGCCAGGCATGTAGCAGGCACCTGTAGTCCCGAGTCTATTCAAGAGGCTGAGGCAAAAGAATCACCTAAGCCCAAGAGCTAGAGGTTGCTGTGAGCTGTGATGCCACAGCACTCTACCAAGGGTAACAAAGTGAGACTCTGTCTCTAAAAAAATAAAATGAAATAAAATAAAAAAACAGAAAAACTGAGGTGAGAGGATCACTTGAGCCCAAGAGTTGCACATTGCTGTGAGCTATGACACGATAGCACTCTACCCAGGGTGACAGCTTGAGACTCTGTCTCCAAAAAAAAAATTTCCTTCAAATTACATCAAATTATCATTTCTTCATGCTCTTAGTTTTTAAAAGTATGATTTTTAATGACTATTTTCATGGTATGGATCATTTTTCTGATGGTGAGTTTTCTAAATTTTAGCCAGTGTAGTGGTTAGTATCTGTAGCCCCAGCAACTTGGGAGGCTAAGACAAGGAGGATCACTTGAGCCCAGGAGTTCAAGGCTAACCTGGGCAACATAGCAAGACCCTATCTTTTAAAAAAATTCCAAATTTATTTTATCAGTTGTATTTTGAAAGAGATTTACTTCTCCACTGACACTGTCTGAAACTCTGATAGCATTAATTGTCTCTCTTATCTTTTTATAGAGATAGCCTGGCTAACTACACTGTTCATCTTTGCTTTCAGGAAGCTTGACCACACCCTTCAGGATCCGTGCAGTGTTGCTGGCAACCTGTGCGTATGTTCTTTAACATCCTGCCTTTAGTTGACTGCACTGCAATTGCCTATGGACTGTTTGGGTCTGTTTCCCAAATCTGACTGTCGATTCCTTGAGGACACAGACTATAACTCTTACACAGTACTTGGCATACAGTAGGCATTCAATGTATATACTAAGAATAAATCAAAAGACTCAACAGTATTTTGTAAAATAGTGTTTACAAGAGAAAAACTCATCTTCAGAATTCTTCATTTGTTAAGACTGTAGGTTGAGTTTTCTCAGACCATTTTTAAATAATTAGAATTAAAAATTAAACACATTTTAACCATAATTTCTCTGGTTACTGATACTTAACTAAGTATAAATTATTAAGATAAGATTTCCTCATTCAGCTAGTAAAATCACAGTCATAGTCACGTAACTATAATTTAGCCTGGCAAGTGGAGAATTAATGTTGTGTGTCTGAAATGATGAAAGTCTGTGTTTATTTACCTTGCAGGAAAGGTCTGTAGCTGGTTGTTTGCAAGGTGCAAGATTCGCAGGTGAGGGTGTCCTACCAGGACAGGAATGCACTGATCTGTCAGGAGATTGCTGGTCAAGTAAAGCAGCTGCAGCATGCTCAGACTCTCCTCCCCAGCGCAGGCGGATGGTAAAGACTCCAAACTATTTGCAGACGCATTCAAGTATCTGAGACTGACAGAATGCACACGTACCATTATTCCTTTAGGTTTATTTGTTGCTTGCCTTCATATAAACCATCATGGCATCTTAGTACGGTATGCTGCCATTCTAAGTTCCCACATTAAAAAAAGAAAAAAGCCATTTTCTCTAGGTAGTTTTCTCTAATTGATTTTATCCAACCCAAAGCTCCTTTTACTCAACTTACACACACCCAACGGAGAGGAAAGGATACAGGCTTGGTTGTTTAGCCAAGCTTCTATAGTGGCCTGATTCCAACAGGGCCTCGTCTTTTACTATTATTAATTACGGTTAGTGTGTCTACTGAAAGGACATTGTTGAGTACCATATTCACATAAAATAAACTATGAAGGCTCGGTGCCTATAGCTCAACCGGCTAAGGCGCCAGCCAC